AATTTAAATGAAGTGTCGTCATTTTGCCTTATTGAGAGAAGTGCAGATTGGCAGAAATCATTTTGTTATGCTGATCAGAATTGCAGAATCACACCTTTACATCTAGTCGTCTGAATCCAGGAAATTTACCCTAAAGCTATACCTGCACATATGTTGTTGTTATGTGTGGTTGACTCAACTCATTGCATAATAGCCCTGAACTCTGCCCTAACCTGAGCCAGTCTCACTGTCTCTGACGCACTTTCTCTCATTATCCCAGTTACGGTGTCCATGCATCTCATCTGGTGTCGTCTTCTACTGCATTGTCCCTCCACCTTTCCAAACATGATGTCATTCTCCTAGGACTGGTCCCTTCTGGCCACGTGCCCAAAGTATGTGACACAGACTCTCAAAATCCTTGCCTCTAAGGAGCAGGTTGGTTTCACCCTATCCAGGACAGACTTTGGAAGTATGTTCAGTATTCTTCTCCAGCACTATGACTCAAAAATATCAATTCTTCTTCTGTCATCTTTTTTCATTGTCTAGTTTTTGATGCACAGCAAGTAATTCTGAAGAACATGGCCTGGATTAGGCACACATATATGATATAACAAATGTAAAAAGGGTTTTCATTTTTAATGTTATTTGTAACAGGTAAAGATTACAATAAACAATTGAAATAGCCCTTAAAATGGACCTAATTTAATAAAATATCTGTGTCCATAAAGTACCATATTATGTGTCTGTAAAAATGAATAAGGAAGCGAGCTCTGTAACAAGAAGCTGCACTGCAATCCTGAAGGCATGTGGTTCGAATCCACCAGATGCTCCGCTGGAGAAGGAGGGGCAATTTCCTTCTGTGCTAGTTATATTCGATTCGATGGTACATAATAAGAAAAAAATATGAATAAGGAAACTGATATGGAAAACCTTGAAACCAATAAGGGAAGTATTGCTATGAATTGTAATCAAAGTCCTACCAATGAGTGTAGAACAGAGAACTCTACCCAAGGGTTTCCAAAACTGTGAATTCCTATGGAAATGTACTGCCACATATTTTTTTTCTGTGTAGCAGTAGTAGCTTGCAACCACTGACCTTTTGACTGGCAGCCAAACACTTTAGCCATTGTACCACCAGGGAATCCTTGATTTTGAAATACTGACTATATTGCTCTTGGAAGAAAAAAATGAAATACTCTAATATTTTAATGTATTTGAGCCCTAAAGCTTATTTTCTCCTCTTTTTGTTTCTCAGAAATTTTGAGTTTGCTCAGAGTCTGTAATTGTTTCCAAAATTTGTTAAGTAGTAGTCAAACACGCACTTGGTGTTGTATTTGTCATTAAGTAGCTAGAAGGACATTATTATAAACAGACTGTGGTTGTTCTTGAGTACCACCTAGTTGGTCCTGACTCATAGCTGAACCTCTAGTGGGTTTTCAGAGAAATTAAATTGCACAGGAAGAGATTGCCCATCTTTCTCCCATGGAGCATCTGATGCACTTGAACTGTGTATGTTTGGGTTGACAGCACAGTTCCTTACTACCGAGCCACCAGAACTACAAAGATAACTCAGATTTTTGGGGAAAAAAAGTTATATATTTATTTATGATAATTAAAAAGCTTACATATATTTAAAAAGCTTATATACCATTGCAAATAAGTTACGACTTAAATACAAAATTTACCCTAATGGTCAGTGTTAAATGCCTTTCAAGCAAAGACCAAATATCAGTTGAGAAAATGGAATTTTAACATTTGGCTCCTGGTGGCTGTTTGATTAAAAAAAAAAGTTTTCACTTAAATTTTTACACTTATTTTATGCAATATTTGGACATTCTGCAAATATTTATTAAAAATAACAACAACAATGAAGCTGGTTTGGGAAAAGGAGTTCTAACTTTTCCCTAATTAATTTTCATTACTTCACAATACCAGTGCACTAAGACAGACTTCTTTTTATTGTACACATATCACAAGGATCAAGGATCTCCAATAAAAAAATTGTACCCACTTTTCATTCCAATAGATGAACTTGGCCAATTGCTTACAATTATGTTCCAAATTGTATTTATTGATCTTCCTTATTTTGTCTCACTGAGATAGGTATTTTAGTTATGATTAACATAGTTTGTGGAAATTGCCTGCCAGGTCATATCTTTGAGAGAATTTACATAGGCAAAATGTGATGCTTTCTTGGGAGTCTTCAAAATTTTAACCGTTTTTTTATAGATTTTTTTCACTTTTTTAGAAGTTTATTATTAATTTCAATGAAAGTTTACTGAGACTTTGGATTTCCATTCATTCATTGTTGCACTTTTCCCCCCTCCCAATCCTCCCCCCAGTACACTACCCTCATAGAAAAGATTTTTTAAGATATTACTTCATTCTTTTCCTTTTTGTCTCTTCTTTCTCTCCAATTTGATTAAGAGGAAAATGATAGTGATTCATAAAAGTTAATTTCATCCCATTTGAAATCAGTTAACACTGACATTACTTGAAACCAGGGGCTTTGAACTGGTTTATTTTGTTTTACTATTCCCTGAGAACTTGTCTCTCCACTCCAGATATACAGAATATAGTGATAAAAAATTGTGCTGCTAACTCAAAGGTACATGGTTTGAATCTAACAGCCACTCCATGGGAGAAATATGGACAATCTCTGTCCATGCCTCTGAAAACCTGTTGAAGGGTTTTGTCTCTGTGACACTCACCAACAAACATTTTAACAAGACCCTCACATGATTCTGATTCAGTATATCTGGGTTGAAAAGGCAAATTTTCAACATGGAGTAAAACAAGAACAAAGCAGTTTATGAAATTCACTTATGAAATTGGCAGTGCAATAAAAGATATTTAATAATTAGTTTAATTGAAACTTTTGTTATTTGCTGTTTAAGAAAATTAAATTTCTCTATAGACTGTTTTTGAAAGCATTGCCTGTAAATACAGTTTAATTTCCAAAAATAACATACTATTAAGATGAAACAGGAAAGAATGACTACTTGGTGATTACTAGATTTTCTGTTCTTTTTTTCTTTTTTTAAATTTTTCTGCTAGTTTATTTACAAAATTCAAATACTAATTTGAACAAATTCTTTAAATTTCCCTCACCTCCCGATCCATCAAATTGTATAACCCAATGATTAATCCTCCCTTCCCCTTGCACATCCATATCCCTCTGCTTCCAGCCTCTCCTACCCCTCCTTATACTTATTTGACAATAATGGTTTTATACAATTTTTATCCATAGGTGACTGAGTTAGTTCACTCAGCATAATGCTCTCCAGTCCCTCCCAAGTTAGGTAATAATTTACAAAGTTATTGCTCCTGCATGCTGCATAGTATTCCATTGTGTGAATGTACCATAATTTCTCAATCCATTTGTTTGTGGTTGGACATTTGGGCTGTTTCCATGTTCTTGCAATGGTGAATAATGCTGCTATGATCATTGGTGTACACATCTCTGTGCCTCCGTTCTCACATTCTCGGGGTATGTTACAAGTAGTTGAATAGTTGGGTCATAAGGAATTTCTTTGTTCAGCTTTTTGAAGAAGTGCCAGATTGCCTTCCAGAATGGTTGCACCATTTTACAATCCCACCAACAATGTATAAGAATTCTTTTCTTGCCACATCCTCTCCAGCATCTATTACTTGCTACCCTGTTAAACTTTGCCACTCTTACTGGAGTGAGACATTTTCTGCTCTTGCATGCAACCCATCTCAGAGAAATTGTTATCTCCAGTTGGGTGTGAATATGAAAAAAGAAGAATGTACAGCTAAAGATTAAAGCAGAATTTAGTGTCTCGAAATTTATTTGGGATGTAATTAATTTTATCTTACCACAGATTTTCAAAGCCTTTTCTTTTTTCCTTGAACAAATGGATAGTGGAACAAAAGTGCTGTAAGATTTTACATCACGTTGTTGTTGTTGTTATGTGCCGTTGAGTTGCTTGTGACTCATAGCGACCCAATGTACAAGAGCCCTAAACCCTGCTCTATTGTGTGCCAACCTCATTGTCTCTGATACACCTCCTCCCACTACCCCAATCACTGAATTGATCCATCTCATTGAGGATCTTCCTCTCCTTTGCCGTCCCTCCACTCTCTCAAACATGATGTCCCTCTCCAAGGACTTGTCCCTCCTTGCAGCATGCCCAAAGTATGTCAGATGAAGCTTCAGAATTCTTGACCCCAAGGAGAAGTCTGACTTCACTCTCTCCAGGACAAACCTGTTTGTTCTCCTAGCAGTCCATGGTATATTCACCACTCTTCCCTAGCACCACAGCTCAAAGGCATAACTTCTCTTTCTATCATCCCTAGTCACTGTCCAGCTCTCCGATGCACAGCACACAATTGCAAAGACTATAGCCCGGATCAGGTGCACCTTAGTCTCCAGCCTGACATTGTTGATCTTCAATACTTTTGAGATGTTTCTGACAGCTGACTCTCCCAGTGCTATTAGTCTCTTGATTTCCTGACTGCTGGTACCAAGAGTGTTTACTGTGGAGCCAAGCAAATTAAAACTGTTAACTATCTCAATCAAGGCAAACTGTCTCATTCTTTTTACCATGCATACTGATGCTGCCATTTGACCCAGTGGTGAGAATCTTTGTTTTCTTGATGTTGAACTTCAATCTGTATTGAAGGCGCCAATCCTTGACCTTCTGCAGCAAGCACTTGAGGTCCTCCTCAGTTTCAGCAAGCACGGTTGTGTCATCTGCATAACACAGTTTGTTGATGAATTGTTCACCAATCCTGATGCCACATTCTTCCTCGTATAGCCCAGTGTCCTGGATGATCTCTGTTCTGCATACAGATTGAAAAAGTATGGAGACAAAATCCATCACATTACTGTAGGGAAATCAGAAATCTTGGCTTAAAGCACTCAACCTCCTAATTTATTTTGATATGGACTGTGTGAAAAATTTTCAATTCAGTAGTAGCAAAAAGATATTAAGGTAAGTTATTAAAATAGCTGCTTATTGTCTTTAAACTTTTTTTCCTTGCTTTTTTTCCCATAGATTGGAGCTTATTTTAGCAGCATATTAGCTGAGAAACTAAAGCTTAACACTTTCCAGGACATTGGAAAGAAGAAACCACAAGTTAACGCCAAAGATAATTATTGGCTGGTCACTCCACGATCTCAGAGTGTAATTCATAGTTGGTTCTCTGACTTAGCAGGAAACAAACCACTAACTATTCTGGCAAAAAAGGTATTCATTAAATATTCCTTTTATTATTTTCATTATAGACTTAAAGCAATGAAAATGTTTGCAATACATTGTTCAGGGTGTCTAGTTCTTCAGTCTTTTCTAGAACTTGGAACCTAAATGACCAGGGTCCTGCCCAGGATGTGTGATCACTTACATGCTGGTTTCTCCTTTGATTACATACATTGCCTCTTGTTGTTGTTGGATGCCATCGAGTCTATTCCAGTTCACAGTGTCTCTTTCACACTGTTGGATGGAATGGAATTGCCCCGTTGGGTTTCCAAGGCTATAATCTCACTGGAGCGGATGACTAGGTCTTCTCTCCCATGGGTGTTCAGGACATTATGATAAACCTGAAAATTCTACACAGTAAGCAAGAAGTAAGCTTGAAGTTATTGTTGTGTACCATTGAGGCAGAACCAACCCATAGCTGACCCTCCAGCAGATTTTCAGAGGCAGTTAATCGCCCATCCTTCTCCCACGGAGCAGATGGTGGCCTCGAATTGCTTGCCTTTGGGATTGAAGCACAGCTTCTTGCCATTAGGCCACCAGAGCTCCCTTGAAGTAGACCAAGTTTTAAGTCAGGAAAGATTAGAAGACTTCGTTTATCTAATACATTTCCCATTTTGTTAGCTCAGGAATCCCAAGATGTGTTGGAGAGAGTCTTGCTTTGGATCTTTTTCTTTAAAACTAACCATCCTAGTGCTTGGAACTAGTTCTCCTTCCTACTGAGCAAGTAATTTTCTATAGGTGTTTGCTCTTTGAAAAGTTTTTTAGAGTAAAATTGACAGACTTGGTGATAGATTTGTTTGGGAAGGGGTTTGTTTGGAACTTTCCACCTTTGATTCTTTTACTGGCATGGGGAATAATATACCAGATTAACAAACTTAGAGTTCAGGCAAAATAATATGCCTTTTGCCATTGAGATCATCTGGAAACTACCTTCTTTTATTCTTGTTCTGTTACTTCTTGTACACATTTTGGATAATTTTGTGGGCTCTGTTCTTGTCTTTTATGAAGTCCTTCAGTTTTAAGGATATGCTCATTTTCTATTTCTGATATCAAATTTCCCATGATTTTCTACCAGCATAGTTTAAAAGAAGAACTTTGTAAGGTTGCTCATTTGTTTTCTAGAGAGCAACTCTGAAAAGCATGCCGTAGCTTCCTTTGGCTTTCTTTCCCCCTGTGTTGTAGCATTGTCCTGCCTTTCATAGTTCCCACTGCTTAACAGCAACTGAAATCCTGAAGAAGCACAAAAGTCAGCACAACTACCTCCAACCATTCAGTTGGCACAAATTTTATCAGCACATGCCGAAGCACCTCACATTTATTTTCCTTGTGGCCCTGTGATGACCTGTCATTTGTATCTAAAGGTAATTCAAGGGCATAATTAAGGATTGGAGGGCTTTCTACCAACAGCTCAGATCCTTCATGTAGTTGGTATTTGCCACTCCCATGTAGTCAGCCAGACATCTTTGTGGGTTTTCTGTTTTTGTAACCCTTTAGAATACTTTTAAAATATGTTTCCTGAAAATGAGTACTGGTGAGGGTTGATGCCTATATATTAGGGGTAGAGTGGTCTCTCATCTTTTAGGAGAGAGAGAGAGAGACAGAGAGAGAGAGAGAGATTTTTAGCCACCATTGTTTTTCTCTCTGTTCTAGGAGCTGCTTTTGGCCAAGTCAGGTTTTACTCAGTTATGGCCTGACACTCATTCTCTGCATCATGATAGCCGCTCTCCTTACAAAACCATTGAATATAGCTTGAAATACTCCTTTTGTGGCCATTTCAGTAGTTCTTTTCCCTAAGTCCTTGTTTTTATCTGTGACATGTTTTAACTCAGAAAACCTTGCATTTCCTACTAAGATCCTGAGTCATCTTTCCTGATTGAGAAAGATCAAATTTTTTGACCTGGTTTTTTGTGTTGTTTTGGTTTTTTTGTTTTGTTTTGTTTTGTTTTTGTTTTTGTTTTTTTTTTACACAATAGAACTCCACATAGCTTCAAGTATTTAACCAGAGAGAAGTCAGCAGTAGCCTATTGAGGCTCTTTTAATTCAATCATGAGCATGGCTGTGTTTGGAAAAGGAGACGCTGGTCTCATGAGGATGCCTTTCTAGCTCTTAAAGAGTTCCCATTCTGTGTGACTTTGATTGCTTTGTTTTGCCTCCACCCCTGGTACACTGACACTTACCAATTATACACCTCCCAGGGAAAGGTGAATGGAGCATCCCTTTGTAATAGGAAAATCAACACATACTAGGTGTCTTAGTTTCTTTTTGCTGTTTAGAAGCAGTTTGTACTGGATTTAGAAAGCAAACACTGCTGAGTGATGGCATAGACTCAGCTACAAGTTAGGGTCACAGGTTTCTCTATTGAGAATGCAGTCTATCACTGTAAGCTGTCATATTGCAGTCTGTGTGAGTGTTTCTCCCCCCCGCCCCTCCCTCCTTGTTGTTGTTGTTATGTGCCATCGAGTCGTTTCCGACTCATAGCGACCCTATGCACAACAGCTCTAAACCCTGCTCTATCCTGCGCCAACCGCACCGCCTCTGACACACCCATCCCGATTACCCCAGTCACCGAATCAATCCATCTCATAGAGGGTCTTCCCCTCCTGCGCTGTCCCTCCACCCTCCCAAACATGATGTCCCTCTCCAAGGACCCGTCCCTCCTGGCAACATGTCCAAAGTATGTCAGACGAAGCCCCAGAATCCTTGCCTCCAAGGAGCAGCTTGGTTTAATCCTCTCCAAGATGGATCTGTTTGTTTTCCTGGCAGTCCAGGGTACATTCAGTACCCTTCTCCAGCACCACAGCTCAAAAGCATCCACTCTCCTTCTGTCCTCCCTAGTCATTGTCCAACTCTCTGATGCATAACAAGCGATTGCAAATACCATGACCTGTATCAGGCGCACCTTAGTCTCCAGAGAGACACTGTTGCTCCTGAGTACCTTTGAGAGGTCCCTAATAGCAGACTTTCCCATCGCGATACGCTTTTTGATTTCCTGACTGCTGGTACCAAGAGTGTTAACTGTGGAGCCGAGCAAACTGAAGCTGTGAACACTCTCAATCTCTTCATCATCCATCCTGTTGCTGCCAATTGGTCCAGTGGCGAGAATCTTTGTCTTCTTGACGTTGAGCCTTAGTCCATACTGAAGGCTGCAGTCCTTGACCCTTCACAGCAAGTGCATGAGGTCCTCCTCAGTTTCAGCAAGCAAGGTTGTGTCATCTGCATAACGGAGATTGTTGATAGATCTTCCACCAATCCTGATGCCACAATTCTCCCCATAGAGCCCAGCCTCTCGGATAATCTGCTCTGCATACATGTTGAAAAGGTATGGAGACAGGATGCATCCCTGGCGTACACCCTTCCCTATTTTGAACCATGCAGTGTTACCCTGCTCTGTTCTGACTACTGCCTCTTGGTCCAAGTATAGGTTTCGTATTAGCACAATTAAATGTTCTGGGATTCCCATTCTTCTCAGAGTCAGCCACAGCCTCCCTCCTAAGTTGGCCAAAATGATATATTGAACCAAGCTATCAGTATGCATCTTCTTCCTTAGTGAAGTGTTTCCCTTCATAGAGCCCTTGATGTAAGTCAGTTGGTTTTCTCTGAGTTGAGACAGAGTGGACTTCTGTGCTTTTACTGGAGCTCCGTGCCTTACTTGTGCTTGCCATTTTATCAAAACGTTTCACATGTTCAAAAGTTGTTTTCAACCTCTCTCCCTCCTCTGTGAATTTCTGTTCAAAAGAAACCCTTTAGGCATATTTAAGAAGGATACTATTTGTAATGATTCTTTTGGGACACTAACTTTATTTTGCAACCTGACTTTATTTTAGGCATTCATCTTCCTGTAACTTTTTGGTATGTCTGAATGGGAGGCAGACTGACCTTAGCAGCTTAGACTTAACCCTTTCATACTGTACTTTATGTTCTGGTGAAAAGCGACAGCGCAGGTCTTGGATTCAATATTTACAACTGTGCTTTTCTCAGTCTCTGACTTAAACTTAGAGACTTCTCTGAATTAAACTTAGAGCCTTTTGCTCCTTGACAGATGTGCATCTTAAGCTTTCTGGAAATTCACGTGTCTAAATGTGTCACTGTGGAATACGTAGAGGAGACCTTATAGCTTTGGATTATGTAACTTCCAGTGTCACAATGGTCATGCTTTAAAAGTTAGATGTTCATTGAAATGAAAAATAAACTAAATTAAAAAAAAAAAGTCAGGACCAAGGTAGGACCTAGAAGTGATCAACAGTCCCTTAAATTAAAGATAAGATGCATTATGTGGACACATAATCAAAATGTCCAGCCTAGATAGCTTTTCCTTCAGCATTAGAACAGCTTGGTATATCTTTGATAAGAACCAAGTAGAATTATTCACTGCATTTTTGGAATTATTTTTTTAAAAACTTGCACTTTGAAATTTTTAGAATTGTTACGTGTCATGTGCATAACTTTCTGCCTCTCCAGAGAACTCCCACAAATCAAAATAATTCTAGGATCATATTTTATGTCAAACTTGTAAGCAGTTAAATTTTAACATATAATTCTAAATCTACTATCAGTGACTTTTGTCTAAGAGAAAAGTGCTGCTATATGAATTTTGTTTTCAGACATATTTGGCTAAACACGCACTTAAGGCAAAAATAGAAATTAGGGTGCTTGATGCCCATGATTATGTTGACCAGAATCCCCAGAGGGTCAAGTCCAGTGTGCAGAAACTTTTGAAAATGTGTGCATGGAGCCATAGTTGTGATTAGGATGTTGTCATCAGGTTGTTGTCTAGCTAACGGTAATAAGGCCATACCTCTTTGACGGTTTGAATCTACCAGCAGCTCCTTGGGAGACAGGTGGATAATCTCTTCCCATGCATTTTACTGCCTCAGAAGCGTAGTGGAGGTTAACTGTGGGTCTGTTCTTATTGACAGTGTGTTTTTTGAGAGTGTGTGTGTTTTGGAACTTTGGTGGCCTAGTAGATAAGGAGTTGCATGCGATTTGAATCTGCTAGCTGTGAGAAAGATAATTTCTTCCAATGTGATTTACAGCCTCTGAAAAACTACTGGAAGGTCACCTATGAATCATTTCCTGCTTGACATACATAACAACCATCACATGTGTAAATAAAGAAATAAATTTTATGCTCTGCTCTTAAAACACATTGTGAGGTAGGCCAGGTTGGTGTGATAATTTATAGAGAGTCGGAGGCCTGGAAGTAGTGGCTCAATCACTTGGGCTCAGGGCAGAGGGCAGTGCCCACTTGCTCAGCCCTGACTCAGTGGGTTGCCTTGTGCTTTGGACCCCCTGCTGCTGCACAGCTAGCATAGTTTCGGTTTTTCACCTTTTCTCTCGGTATTTACAAATGGAATCAATTTTATAGATGAAATTTTATCAACAATTTATTGATAAATTTTATCAATTTTATAGGCTGTTCCTTGAGTATTTGTAAGGTATGGCAGAAGGATTAACTTAACTTTTTAAAACTATTCAGTGGTACATTGAGATAATAATTTGCTAACTTGTACCTTTGTGATCTGGAAAAAATAACAGACCCAACTGCCTATTTTCAACCAGTGAGTTAATTACCTGTCTGTTTCTAGCTCAGTATTTATTGGATAGATTCACTGATTATCTTTAGCCTCTATTTAAAAATTTAAACACAAGGCACTTTTAGAAAGTTTGTGGAAATTGTTCCTTACAAAATGGTACAGTTAGAAAGCCTTATTCTCCTCTGCTCTCCCCCTATCCCCCAAAAGAAAAAATGTTTTGCAATAAAATGTAGGTAGGCAGAACCAGTCCTTGGAGAGGGATGTCATGGTTGGGAGCGTGGAGGGACAGCACAGGAGATGAAGACCCTCAGAGAGATGGATAGGTTCAGTGACTGGGGTAATGGGAGTAGGGTAATGAGTGTCAGAGCCAATAAGATTGGCATAGAAGAGCAGGGTTTAAGGCTGTTGTACATAGGGTCGCTATGAATCGCAGGTGACTCGATGGCACATAACAACAACAACAAAAATGTAGGCCAGGGACAGTTTGGTTTTTTCCTTAATTGTTCTTTCCAATTTGAGATAAACTCTTTGGAAGAGTGTTGTGAAATTATTTTCTTTATTTTTATGTAAACTAAGTGGTTTTTAGTATCTTAAATCTTGAAAATAATTTTTTAAATAAATATGAACACCTGATCAAACTATTTTTCCAATATGCTAAACATAGTTTTGATTCTTTGAAAATCTGTTTTGAATGGTCTTTATATATTTTAACTACATATATTCCTTGAAAATTATTTTGGCTGCTTCTTTCCTTAGGTTGTGTAGTAATGACAGTATGTGAATATTACAATTTTCTTTTTAGGTTCCCATTCTTAGTAAAAAAGAAGATGTTTTTGCTTATTTAGCTAAATACTCTGTGCCAATGGTTCGAGCAGCATGGCTAATCAAGATGACTTGTGCCTACTATTCTGCTATTTCTGAAGCTAAAATTAAGAAGCGTCAAGTTCCTGATCCTAATTTGGGTAAGTGAGACAATACAGTGTATTTTAAATTTCCTTTTTTGAGTCTGTTAGTTGTTGTTGTCTGTTGTAACCCAGCATGGTGGATATGAAGACATTGATGAGGATAAAAGTTACTTGTGGTTTGAAAAGTGCACCTTGGTCAGCTAGTTCCAGAGCACTAACTTTATCATCACGTACTATAAGTGTTACCTCAAAAATATATCTTGCTCCGGAATACTTTGTACCATCACAACTTCGGGTTCAAAGCACCTTCATGTCTTGACTGGCTGTATTGGCAGTCCTTTAATTGGCTTCCCTCTTTTCACTTGCTGTGTACATTGTCATCTGCACATAATTGTAAAATCATCTCTGCATCTCAAACAAATGATACTGTGTCCTCATTTACAACTCTGCTATAATTTCTTATTTGGAATAAATATTTCAACTCCTTAATGTGGCCTGCGAGGCTGTCTATAATGCGCCCTTCCTTATGTGTGTTATAGACACACTGCTTTTTTTTATCTTTTTTTACACACAAAGGACATTTTCTTTTGGGATTGTTTGTTGATGAATTTCTCTTCAGCTCACTTACTTTCTCCGTAGGTTTTTTGTGTGCACGAGACAGTATAGTATTCTTTTTCTCTCTTGT